GTGGCGAAGACTAGCAAAACCCCTCCATCTCATTTTTGATCCCAAGGGCGCTGATACAACTACTCAGGTAGCTGAATTTCTGAACGACTTCTAACTGATCTCCACCAAGGGTCAGCGCAGGAGACGATCCCTGCCAATCTTGGAGGTATGCTTTGCACATCGATGGTGCAAAGCAAAGCCCGAAGCGGCTGATTGCCAGTGCTAATCTGTCCAGTACCGCTTGGCACGTCTGAAATTTGTCATAGATTAGAGCAATATCGTCAGCATACTCCAAGTCAAGAAGTCGTTCTCCAGGAAGTAGCCCCACACCTTTTAAATCGTGTCCTGTGAATGCAATCTCCATGAATTCCTCAATGGCGCAATTGAAGAGGAAAGGTGACAACGGGCATCCATGTCTCATACCGCTGGAGATACTGAAGGGCGGTAACAGTTTATTGTTAGCCTTCTGCCCGTGCTACGCGAGTATAGTGCGCGGATGATATTTACATATTTTTCGTGCACACCTATCCTGAGTGGACAGTCCCAAAGAGCACATCGATCATCATCAACATCAAGAATGTCACCGTATGTCTGGCTTCATCAGGAATTGTCCGTCTTCCAGTTTGGGGACCACGTGTTGGGGATACCAAACCGCTGGAAGTTTTGGAGGTTATGGCTCGCAACCGAAATCAGTGGGGTCAATGATGTTTAAACATTTCCCTTTCATCCGCATTTCCATAAAAAACAAAAATCTCCAAACGGTGTGGGTGAAATGCATAACAAGACAAAAAAGAAAAAGCCGTTTTCCTTTGCTTTTGAACTATCGTTTTTTCCATACCTTTACAGCCACGGCTCTGATTGCACATTTGTCTGTTTTCAGCCTTGTGAATATATATATATATATATATATATATATATATATATATGGGAGCTATAAAGCAGATGTCTCTGCTATGTAATTGCAGGCGACACAAAAGGGATCCGGCCAAATGTGAGTCTGATTCCTCCACGACCTCGCATTGTGGGTCACTTCGGTAATAGAGAATAACCTCTCCTCCTTTCGTAAGCCTGTCGTTTCGAATGATTGACAAGCCCGGTAGCGAGGCACCAGTGTCCGTCATTCCAATGTGCAACCAATTTTCTGTAACACCGATGATATTGCATGGCTTCAAAATCTGGCGATCTTTGAGTTCGACCAGCTTATTGAATGGCCTTTGAGCATTGGTATAAGGACAGGATAGTTTCTCGGTCTCTAGGAGCCCATAGTGAACTAAAAGAGTCAAGTGTGGGAGAATGCCGACCGGTGTGTGCTCGGCCTTTACTCTTTTTTGATGGAATGATGCTACATCGTCTATATCTTGATTTGGTCAAAATACGTCCCATTCCTCATCCGCGCATACTACAGCATCGTATAACCGAGCGTTAAAGTGAAGCTCTTTTGTAATCGTCGGTAGGTTTGCTTTTTCTGATAGGCTCATGTCTAGTCTTTGCAAGGCTTCATCAGCTTTTAACCGAACTTCAGGTGGAAGGCTTTTCCGATGTCTCCACCAATGTTCTAACACTGCCACCGCTATCTTCACTGACTGAACCAGAAGTTTCAGGATTCTTGGGCCGCATTCTCTATAATTTGGTGAGAGAGGTAGTCTTGTGAGCGATCTCTCTACAATGTTGTCTAAGGAAAGCGTCTCACGAATGAACCGCCGTTGTTACAAATAGCAATTGGGTGTTGCCCAGCTGAAAACACTGCACTACTATGACGCGTTTCGATGTTATTACGTCTCATCAGATAGAGTTAGCAGGCATCGAACCCGGGACCGTTGGGATGTTCGTTGTGACCGCTACCCCTAAGCCACCGGGTCATGAGGGGCAACACATGGCACAACGTTTCAGTGAAAGAGATTGTGGGACATTTTGAACTCCATGTTGTGTGGACGGATTGCGACGCGCCATCCCCATGTTGACCGCGATTCCCATTGAAGTGAATCTTGATCTTCCGATCACGAAGACCGTAGCTGATGCAAATAGAACCTGGGTGTTGTCCGCCCGAAAACACTGCACTACTATGAATCGTTTCGATGTTATTACATCTCATCAGATAGAGTTAGCAAGTATCGAACTCGGGACCGCTGGGATGTTAGTTGTGAGATTGCGCGTCGTAATCCATCCACACAACGTGTACTTCAAAATGACCCTCAATCGCCATTGTTCTTTATGTTGATCACCACTCTATGTTGACCCTTTTGGTCCAGTCCCTTGAGTGGTCAAAGTATGGAGCTTCTACTGTATGTATAGGTAAAAAGTTGCACAGGGGTGTAGAATTGGTCGTTCTTTGACTTTTAGTTGACACTTGCTTCAATTGATCAAGCGCGTTTGTATTTCGCATGTCTGTAAATTTCGTACAGCTATGAGTTTCCACTCTAGAACCTTGCGATCGGAACTCCTCACCACACGTGTTATCCATTCTAGCTACCGCAGTTCTCCATTTTCTTCCAAACGTTGTTTCAAAGATAAGTGCAAATAAGATCGTAACATCTATCCCGTCCGGAATCAAAGGCCTACCAAAGCTTAATAGACACGCAGACTCAGAATACGCCGAAGTTATAGCTAAGTTGTGGTTCTCCATATACACGTCTACGGGTGTACTAGCGCAGCGTCCTGCACACTCATGCTACCAACAGTCAAAGTACAGAGTGCAACCATTGAAAGCGGTAGATTGATTCAGATATCTAGGTGATTTCGTAATCCTTCAGGTGCTCAAACATTGGTGAGGTTATTGCGCACATCGATGATGTCCGAGAGGCGCTTCAAATACACAGCCCTAAATGAAGACTGCAGGTCATAACCCATGGGTTAACGTCAGATGACAAAATGTTGCAGTGCTTTTTGTTCTGTCATATGAATCAAAGATATGACACTTAAGCGTTAAACGTCTGACGATGCTAATAATTTGTGCTTATTGCTGCTTTTGGGAAGCAGTTGATACTTAACGAGCGCACAGTGACAGAAAAACTAAAGTCCATTGACTGAGGATTGGAAACGGGCGCTCCGGTGACGCACGATAGTGGCTGTTTAACCGTAACTGCCTACGTCTTTACTGCAAGTTTATCACATAGCTGAAGAACACCATTTTGCGGTGCATCGTTTCACGCTTTCATAAGTAGTTAGATTACTACACAGATTGGTCATCAGATGGTGAGACAGACAACCGTGGAAGAGTTGGCCTAGAAACTTGGTCAGGCCGATGTGCGTTGCCTTCTCGAGCCTCCGGAGTGGTCACTTCGGTGATTGAGCATATAATCTGACATGACCCACGGGCGAACTCCCTGGTAATCTAGCGCCTATAGGACCGTTCTTACCATTGACCTATTCCTTTGGTGATCATCTTTGTTCCCGTGACCTATTTCTAGTCGGTTCATGTCTATAAGTTTGTCTGCGTTTTTCCGCTTGATAGCCCTACACCACTTCTCATGGCTGCACAATCTGCAGTAACCGTATCTATCGCATCTCTTTGTCGACACCAGATTTAGTCAGCTAAATTGAATTGCTAACCAGCTGAGTAAAGCACGGTTTAGTAGTTGGTCTTGCATAGGTTTCAAAGTACTTCCTATGCAGCAGCTGAGTTATAGGAAAGATTGTGAAAGTATGGAAAGCCATAAACCAGCTTACATATCATGACATAGACAGGTGACACCCTTGGTGTAACTACATAGCCGAATCAAACAAAGTTATCCCAGTATTCGGTGTAGCTAATTTAGCAACTAATATGAAAACAGTGTTATCATCAATCAAAGCGGCATACGATGCATAACTCCCAGTATGTGTTGGGATTAATTAGGTTATCACGAGCAGATGTGAAGTAGATTTGGGGCCATTGGCATGCTAGCTCCTCTGCAATAGCTGTTACATTTGTTTCCCTGTGGGCTGTTTTTGGCTAACTAGAGTAAATTGGGTCTTTGCGTTATCGAAATCCGGGAAGGTCGCTGTGCTACAGTTGCAAAAAGCAGCCCATGAACATGCATGAGGTATCATTTTTATTGTACGGAAGTTGTGTCACATTGCAAAAAGACAAAAGGTTAGGGGAAAATACCAGCTTGGTTTTCCAGATTAGGAAAGATCGAACTCTAATTCCCGCCTCATTCGATGGCAACAGCACCAGAAACAACGCAAAACTGTATTTGGAGCTACCTTTGCCAAAACCAGACCCATCGAAAGTGCCGCATATGCCACCGTCGTTTATATGAGCATTAACATGTGAAGCGCAATGATGTGTTTTATTCATCTGTACTGGTGAACAGGTCGGGTGAATGCAATCCCCATAAGGGAAACTGTCTCCTCACTGATAATCCGGCCGTGTTTCGCTTTAAACTGATTTTGACGCACACCCACCACAATTAATAATAAGGTTCAGATACAATAAAGGGTAAAAATGTCCCATCTAGTGCTACGCCAGTGCTTCTTAATGTAGTTATTGCTAGTTTCCCGCCGATAATGTCGCTAACCTACGTCATTTGTCAGTTGTGCTATCTCCTTTCTGGATCTTACTTTTCTCGTGAAGGGCTTCGTTGCTCCGGCTTAGAACTGACTGTCTGGTCTTCAGATAGGTCCGCTCCGTGGTGTCTGTTTTCTAAAGCCAAGTTTTCTACAGCTCTGTAGTCCAAAGTAGTACAACTGCAATTCCACTACATCTAGTTGCTAATTGGTATCTCACTGGAGTCTGTTCTAATCTGATCAACATGCTTGAAGCAGTGCGTGGTATATGTGCTAGTATTTCTACACGAGTTTTCTCTCCCACAGTAATCCGGCCGAGAAACATCATCGATAATGTACAGTTTTATCACACAATCCGAGTTAAGACCTATCCATTCAACCTTTGTTGTTCCAAGTTGGAATACGCATCATATACCGTTGTCACAGGAACCGTAGTAATAGTTCTTGATACCTGTTTGACATTTCAGCTTCCTCTCTGTGCAATATATGAGAAGTGTCATCAAAGTAAATGCTTATGGACATGTTAAGCAACTATGAATGGTATTGCTGCTAATTATTCGCTTAGTTGATATGCCAACTGTATGCAGAAGATAAACCAAATACACCGGATCCCTTAAGTGTGTCTAACAAAGACTTGGAATACAATCAAACTTCGCCATTAGGTGAAGGGAGATGGGAGAAGTCCACAGTACCTGACCTCGTCGACAAGTAAGTGAACCAGAAGCAGCATCGGAATATCGATGAGTGTTAGTTCGAACCATAACCAAACATTCTACTTTTAGTTACGATCTTCAAGGGCCTAAATGGTGTCGCGAAATGCATGATGGTGCAAGCTTCGGAGGGAATCGTGTGAGTTCGCACGTTATCCCAGAAAATGTGCGGGGCTGTTGCCAACATTCTCACAGCCTGGGTGAACTCTGCTCTCAAATGAAAACAGCTCAAATACGAGCTGAGAATTTTCGAAAAAATTTTGACAAGGTAAGTCTGAGTCATATTGCATGTTATGAGTAGTGTAACTGAGTAGTGTAATGTATGACTAGTATAACTGAACACTAGACCAAGCCGAATATAATGCACAGCATTAATGAAATACTGCTCATAGGTTTTTGCATAAATTGCATCCAATTTAACATTTCTGACTACACCGCATTGCAGAAAGGACATGCTATTCGGAAGTCACCTGTTGTGAACGAGTGGCTACAGGCAATATTTGTTGCTCCAATTAGGCAGTCTGTGGCTACACGCCAAGGCATGTTACCCTGTTTGTTTATCAGACTTGCTCTATCTCTATGACTAATGGCTCAAAAATATTTTAGCGGGTAGCCTGTAGCGGGAGCCCGGAGAGTGATTCGAAAAGGTAGATCGGGTTGCAGGGAAACTTTTATTGGTACCCTAAAAAATTTCCCTGTTATCTAGCTATAGAAAAAACGGCACCGTTGACGCTCTAGCTAGGGGTACGGAGGATGTACAGCACAGAGGGCAGTCGCGCGTTGCAGCCGAAACGAGCATTGTTTGCGCGTTGTGGGTGCGGTTGGAAGAGCAGGAGGGGAGGCCAAGTGATGACTTGGTCGAGAGAAATGAAAACCCTCACTTCGAAGTTGGCGTCGGTTGGTGCATCCCGACTGCCTGGCTGGGGTCCTAAGGACGATGAACACGTTTGGTTGGACACACTTGCTGATATGGCTAGGAGCCGGCACCAATGGCGTTTGTGTTGCGATTTCCTTTGCCCATCCCCCTCCTGTTTAGTATCCCCCTCCAATCACGATCTCATGTGTTAGGCATAATATGATTCTCTTTTTACGGCAGCCAGCTGTTAGCTCTCCGGAACGATGTCCATCCGTTACTGGGGACTCAGCGGGCGTGCCACTGTTTTTCTTGTCTTGTCTTTTGTATTGCGGCACAATAGCTTAAGTGTTTTCCACCTCCAGCTAACGTGTAATGATGATGATGATGATGCCGAAACGAGCGCCAAGCAAAATTGGCGATGAGCAAGTCAAGCATTCGAAATCAGCGATCAGTTCAAGAAACCGCACCGGTCGCCTAGGTGTACAATGAAATAATTTTAGTTAGAAGTTTACACAGGCAAACCAGAAAATCTCCAGACTGATACAATATCAAGTCCAATCATGATACTGTGCATGCCTTAAGGATCTTTGACATCCTGAGAAATTTCAAGTTTCTCAGCTGCTCTATACGATCAATTTGCACATGAATTATAGTCATATCCATGTTTTATCGTCTAGCGTGTTGTGTGCTGCAATGTGAGTATCACAGCTCGTCACGTAGAAGGCCCGGATTACCACCGTCTACAGGTCGAACTAATTCTGGCGTTCCATATCTTGTGAAACCCCGGTCACCCATGCCGCCACCTTCTGAAACTCAGCGGTATCCAAAATTAAGGAGCAAACAGCTGGAACTGGCAACTCAATGCAGTCAGTTGGAACGCCGCCGGAATTAATTTTGTATATTGCAAGAAGAAACGCAAGCGGTACGCATAGAGCGAACAATTGTTTTCGATTTATTCATCATCAGGCTTGGTACAGAAATATACGTTGAGAAGAGGAGTTCATTCGGGAAACAGAGAGCAACTATTGATTAAACAAAAGGTTTAAATGGTTAACGTAACGTGTCATGTGGTCAAGTGACTGAAGGCATGTGACACCACTGAGTGAGGTCCGATCCATCTTTGTTACTGGCTGGCCAGGGTAGTTGTAATGCTTGGACATGCTTCTTCTGAATGCATAGATTTGGTTTTGTCAATCTGATGCATACTGCTTCAGCGGTAGCGAGTAGCCGAGCCCCTTACCGATGGTGTAGCTGTGATGGCACTCGATAGAGGATCTCAAATGACTTGCGCTTATCAATCAGATGACTGGTGCAGAGAAGATGGTTAGTTATGGTACTCAAGTTAGTTTTGTCCCGTTGGGTGACGAGCAACGTTGGTAAATGTTCCTTGAATCGCTTTTCCAAGTGCATGGTCGTGCGCCCAATTTACCTAGCCCCACAGGAGCAGGTGAACCGATAGACTACCATTGGCGTTGATCATGCATCTTGTCTTTGAATCTTGGAACAATGAGCGAAGTGCTTGTAAAAATGACACTTAGTTGTGCTGCAGTAAAGGTCCTTCGGCAAGTCTATAGCAATCGTCGTGTGCAAATCTCAGCCGGCATGTCACCTTTAAAGGGAAGTTAGAGAAATGGCTTCTTCTTCTGTACCGTTTGTACTGTTGGTCTTGGGCTGATAGGCTTTATATGAACGTCAAGAAATTGTTCTGGATAACCGTTTTCGAGAAGTGTTTGTCTGATTCGCTCCATTTCATCTTCAATTGTGTCCTCATTACATATCTTCCGTGCAAGATTTGCCAGAGTATGTACTAGTTTTCTTTTACGGCTAACTGGCACAAAACTCCGGAAGTGCATGCATTGGCCTGTTCAGTACGGCTTTCTATCTGAATTGATCCGTCTTTTCGTCGCTTTAACTTTGCATTTGATTATTAATTTCTTCTTCAACTGTAAATGTGGCGCTGTGTTGTGCCTTGTTAAAACACTGGATGACATTCCGCATGTTGTTCGTCTGCTCAATTATGCGGAATATATTGTCAACCTAACGTCGGTAGAAACGTACGCCCGAGATGACTGATTTTAATGGGCCAACCTCTAACATTCCCATATATATATATATATATATATATATATCAGCCAATAGTGGTCCGATAAGTGATCCCATGGCTATCCCATCTACTTGTCTGTACAATTCCTTGTTGAATTGGAGATGGATGTTATAAGCACATCTGAGTAATAGCTGCTTTAAATGGATAGTTGGTTTTTCCATCTTTATCTTGTGCTGCTAAATGTAAGTACAGAAATTTAACTGTTTCTACAAGTGGGACATCCGTGAACAGAGATACGACGTCCAGAAAAAACATTCGATAGCCTAAGATGTTCATAGTTTTAACGTTTTCCACAAATTAAAAAGTGTCCGTAAGTTGATGAGGGGTTATCATTTTCCTAATAGGATCCAAAACAGACATTAACCATTTTTCGATGATGTGATATGGTGAGTTCCTCATATCCATTATCGGTCGTAATGGTGCACCCGGCTTGAGTACTTTTTGGGAGACCGTAAAGTCTAGGAATTATGGAGCCGGTGGGTCTTATCCTTTCATAGTTGTCTTTAGTTATGTGACCATTAGTGACCAGTGAGTTCAAACATCTTGTCAGTTGTGTTTCTGTGTAATCTGTTTTGTCCTTCTCTCCTTCACATCGTAAAAATTTGGAGGAGTCCGAGAGAATAAGCTTAATTTTTTGTACGTATTCTGTGCCGTCCATGATCACGGCTGCTGATCCTTTAGCTGGTTTGTTGATTATGATTCTCTCGTTTTGCTGAAGTTCTCTTATGGCTTCGATGTGTGCCTCTGTAAGTACTCGGGAATGTGTCATGGGGTATCGTTGATACTGAAGGGAAATGTTGACCAAATCCGACTTAAATTGTTCGAGACTGGTGTTGGAAGTGGCTGCTAAATCACTTGTCTGGCTGTCAAGGTATTCAAATTGTGTTTCGATTTCTAGTCGTTGATCACTACTTCGTGGATGGCAAAATCTAAGGCCCAATGAAAGCCCCTGCATTTGTAAGGTGCCTAGTCGTATACTGGACAGGTTGTGTACATATCTGTCCAGATTTGATGGAAATGTTTTCGGACATTCTTTCACGGTCAGTGTTTTCTGCAGAACTAATCTCTTCTTGGATGTTCGCTTGGAGGTCACGTTGCGCACATACTCGATAAACCGGACTCGTTCATCATGGTCGAGGTCGTCCAGGGCGGATTTCCTCTGTGCTGTATGCCGTTCAGTCTCAGATAGCTTCGATTTTGCCGATTCTATAATGTTCAGTACATGAAGCTTCAAGCTGCGTGTTGTAGAACGAATGTGGTGCCTTCGCAATGCCTTCGAGAATGCATTTGGCTAGTTGCTCATTTCAATACAGTAACGCAGACATTCATTATGCTCACCAACCCCCACGAAATCTGGGTAAACGGATGTACATACTGATGTTGATGCCTCTTCGCCGCAGTTAGGCCACTGCAACGTAACTTAAACTAGATCTGCTTAATATGGTAAAAAGATCTTCCGCTTTATTTTATTTGTGTACATCTGTCATTCTGTCGCATATTTCGTGTCAATTATGCGTTTTGCTTTCCTTCCAAGTTGGTTTTGCTTGTTTATATCCCGGTGTGGCTACTCCTGATGTTAATTTTGACACGTGCATACCTGTCTAACACCCTCCATTTCGATCTCTGGCTCCAAGAAACTGTGAATGGATGCTGAGGGGACGGTGCGCACGGTCCTCGTGACGGTGCTAGTCTCAAAGGGTACTTCCATGCCTCCAATGTGGAGCGAACTACGGTTCAGCCACCGCCTTGTGTACGTCTACTACGCATGATTCCCCAAATAGATAGAACGGAATGCTGCTGTTGTGCGTGTTGAAGGAGTGTGGGCTGGTTCTGTTAATGAAACGTGGCTGCCACTCGCATGCATCCCAGTCTTATACCTTTGGGTTACACTGGAAATGAGATATGTGGATGAAACAATGGTTCAATCCGGATAAAAATAAGTCAAGGCTTAACAGGTCCCGTGGGATCATCATCATCATCCTCCTCCTCATCATCATCATTACACGTTAGCTGGAGGTGGAAAACACTTCAGTTATTTTGCCGCAATACAAAAGATAAGGAAAGGAAAACAAACAGGGCACGCCCACTGAGTCCCCAGTAACGGATGGACATCATTCCGGAGAGCTAACAGCTGGCTGCCGTAAAAGTCATATTATACCTATCAGGTGAGATCATGATTGGAAGGGGATGCTAAGCAGGAGGGGGATGGACAAAGGAACTCACAACACAAACGCCATTGGGGTC